TATATATATATATATACACATACATTTGGCGTCCAAAAGAAACTTGAAAATGAAATCACCCAACCATTGTGTTAAAGCCTTGCACTACACTCCTGCAGCACACCAGTTAAAGCTAAATATATTCTGCCTCACCTGACACATTAGTAAAGGGACACCCGGGGGGGGACACTATCAGAGCTGCGCATTTTCGAGAAAAAAAACTACCAAAGCCGCGCACTATCGGAGCCGAGCACTTTTTGACGATATCGATACAATTAGATCGCCAATTCCATCCAACAGTTACAGTCCCCTTGACAAATTAATTACTCTGTAGAACCCCCATCCTAATATATTCGTCTTTCTGCAGATGTTAAGGGATTTCCGGACCAGTTGTGAACTGAAACAAAAACCACAGACCAAACAGAAAGGCACTGCCATGGCAGAAACGAGAATGTGTAACAAGCAAACTAATATACGCAGATTGACAAGTCTCACAACTTCAATTTTTATCCTGAATGAGCAAAAAAACACTTTAAAGATTGCCTCTATCCGGTAGATATGTTTTATATGTGAAAAGCCTATTCATTCAATATAAAATATAACTGATATCTGGTCTCAAGTCCAGTAAAACGCTGAGGGTAATTAACTTGTTGGGTGGTACTGTTTTGGTAATCGGCAATCTCATTGTATCGATGTCCTTAAAAAGTGCGAGGCTCTGATGTTCTCCCCACCGGAGATATGGTCACTCAAAATTGACCTTAAAAAATCAGGCTTGGCAAAATTGTGCGAAATCCCCCCCCCCCCAAAAAGTAAAATTGTCATCGTGCATGTTTTGAGGTGAACCAATATTGACAGAATTGACATACATTGCACATCCAATGAATGAAGAAATTTGTCTCTGCAATAAAAAATAAAAAAAGTATTTCAATAGTTTCAAACCAAATGGAAAACAAAGCAATCAGAACTACCACCCAAAACTGAGACTTAACGTTAAATGTGCTAATTGTTATTTTGCCTCGGGGCATTTGGTTTGGGGTAGGGCACGAGCCCTTAGGGCAGTGCATCGGCTCTATGAAATTTTGGACATAATTATCGGTCATTTCATTCCAAATGTCACAGACAGTTGAAACAAAGGGTCTGAATTGGGAGCAAAGTCGATTTTCTACATTTGCTGTTTCATGGGACTTCATATACCTGTAGAATTCCTATCGGGCTATTTTCTGGTGACCACTGGTGTTGGATCAGCCCATTTACGTTGCTATGATATGGTGTGCCAAAATTTGGTTAGTGGCACTGGCCGCTTAAGAAAGTGCTTTGTCGTGCATGGAGATGGAGATATCTATTTGAATGACATCAAGACGAAAATAAGTGTAAGACATAACGTTCCAGCACTTGCGCGATGTAGTTCACTAAAGCAAGCCATCCGGTGGTTCTCATTAGGGTGGTTTTGTTTATTCCACCCCAGACCACTCCAAACCATGACAGTTTCGTGGCCTCTGCGCCTCCCTGACAAATGATTACTCCAAAATCTAACAAACAGTTCATATGCAAAAAAAGGTTTCGTGCTCTAGACGAAACCAATAGTTCCCTAAACAAAAACAAAATCAAACTACATCACATGTAAGGTTAGGTCCAGGTTTTGCATGGTATTTGTGACTACTCTGTTTTCTTACCTGTTGAAAATGTCATTAGAAAATGCTGTTCATTGCTGACAAAATAATATTCTCTTTTCAATTGATACTTAATACAGGTCCATTCCACCAATGTTGACGCACCTCATTATATGCGCCCACAAACTTTTATGTTTCTTTGATTTCGCACAATTTTGCTACGCCTGATGTTTTAAGGTCAATTTTGAGTGACCATATCTCAGGCGTCTCTTCACATAAATGAATTATTAATATATTATATATTTACACACACACATTTACGCGCATATTTACGCACCTTC